ACGATTTTCAAGATTAATTTCATAAAAAAAAAAATGGTTCACATGATATATCTATTTTTTTTTTTAATTACTAAAATTGAAAACAAGTAGTAAATATTTTGTAAACTTTTAAAAGAAATTTTTTATTCCATTAATTTTGAGGCTGGGAAATTAACAATGATCGGGCGTTAACATTAAAATCATTAAAATCATTAAAATCATTTAAAAAAATTTTTTTTTTTTTTTTCATTAACGTTATAATTTAGAAATCATTAAATAAAAAAAAAAAATGATCAAAAATGATTAAAAATGATAAATGACATAAATGATTAAAAAAAGCTAATACAAAAGTACTAATACAGTGGCTAATACAGTACTAAATACAGTATTAGCAAAGCTTGTAAAGGAAAATGATACTGATATAAAAACAATTTAACAACAATTCATAAAAGCATTGTTTATTTTCGTGTTCATGTGTATGTAACCCTTTGTGCGTAACACCAATAACAACCGGTTTACATTGAATTTATATATGGTGCATCGCAATTTATACGAATACCGAATTACACACATGAATAACACGACAGCGGAATTCATGAAAGTAGGATGTAGTGTAACAAGAGAGTAATTGAACGATCATTCCTTTTTAGTAAATTATCGTAACTTAATAGTTAACATAAATATTATTGTAAACCGTGAATACAATTGAGGAAAATTTTCTACTGCTTTTTTTTTTTTCTGAATGATAAAGTTAAATGTGGAATATACAGGTTTGTTTAAAGTTATTTGTGTACGAAGAAATTGTGTAATTACTCTTCCAAATCTGTGGGATGTAAAAGTTTTCCCACCAATATTACCAATATTACTAATATTACTGTTGTATTGTATTGCAGTATTGAAAATTTTCTTTAAACCTTTTTTTTTTTGTAACTTTTTGATCTTTATAGAACTTCGATCATCCATTGTTTTTTTTAATAAAATTAATTACATGCAATTAATGTATTTTCCTTTTTACTATTTTTTTGTTTCCATCCTTTTTTCTATTTTTCTATTTTTTTATTTTTTTATTACAAATTACATCGATTACAGATTTGTGAAGTGAGACCTTGAATACCGAGCTTAGTTGTTGTGGTTTTGTTTGTATTAATGTATTAATTTTTTTTTTTTGTTTTTAAATAATTGATTTTTACGGTAGGTGAATGGATGAAAAAAGGAAAAATGCGGGGATCTTCATGTTATATTTTGGTTATGAATGGGAAATCAATTGGTTAAAATCACCGATATAAAATGAATGCTCTTAGTTCTGTTAGTTTCTGTTCTGTTCTGTTATTTCTGTTAGGAGTTGTTACTATTTGCTAGTAATTTACTAGTTAGTTATTAGTTAGTTATTAGGTAGTTATTAGTTAGTTATTAGTTAGTTAGTAGTTGTTATTAGTTTGTTATTAGTTAGTTAGTAGTTGTTAGTAGTTAGTAGTTAAAGGAACAAATGTCCCCCCTTAAAGATCACCTTATTTTTTTAATGTTTTAAAAATCACGACATTTTAGTATTTTTTTATAATGATGATTTATGACGATTTTTATTAAAAAAAAAAAATTGAACCAAGAAATTTGTGATACCCGGAAACCTGTTTAACTAAATTTTCTCAATCTCGTAACGTACGGATTATGTACGTTATGTATCATTATCATATCGTATATGTATTTGATGTATTGTGGATTTTATTTCAACAAAGATAAAGTACGCACAAACAAATTAACATATGTACATAAGTGGGTACGTACGTACCTGAATATGCTCACAGACATTTAAACGTCCCCTAATATTCCTAATATTGTAAATAAAAAGAATAAATAAAGTGATGAATATAATGTGTGAATAGTGCGAATATATAGATAGAATATGTAGTGAATAGTGAGAATATAGAGTTGAGTGAAATGAATGTAGTAAGTATACGTAGTGAGTGATTGAATATCGGATATTTTATATTCTCTATATATATTTTATATTCTTTATATTCTCTATATTTTATATTCTCTAACATATTCTTTTTATTCTCTATATATTCTCTAATATATTCTTTATATTCTCTATATCTATATATTCTCTCTAGTATATAGAGAGACAGTACTACGAAATATCGTATATCGTATTATATAACTTATTATTTATTATTTATAAGGTCGTGCGATGTGTCACTCATGATGGATACTCAAACTATTCCTCTCGTTCGCATTTTTTTAAAAATAAATCGAATTTATAATTTTTACTGTATAATTAATTCATTTATAATTCATTGAGTTACCCCTCCGACGGTAATGCAGATGCATCATATGTTGTATCTGTCGCCTAGATGAACGACGAACGAACCCTTAAACTTTACACGATTAAATCTTCGATCATCATTGTGTTCCGTTATCTTTATCGAATTTTCTGGTTTGCTAATTTTATTTCGGGATCTCCGATTCGGAATTCATTTCGGTGATCACTTACTTTGAAAAAAAGAAACATCATTAACAAAATTGCTTTGATTTTAATACATCCCTATATTTGGACCTAAAAAATTAAGGACAGATCGCGTGCGAGAAAAAAACTAGAGAAAAAAAATTTTTTTAAAAAAAAAAGAAAAAAAAATTTTTAAAAATATAGTTATATAACAATATATATAATGATATAACTTTTTTTTTTTTTATATATATATTTTATTACGCAAGTAGCAAGTAGCAAGTAACAAGTAAAAGAAGAAAAAAAAAATGTGGGCAAAATAATAAAATTGTAACACGAAACGATAAAGTGTTTCGCATATCCTTACCAAAATCATGCGTCTGATATACTTTGAATTATGTATAAGGGATATACTTAACACACATTCGTATCTGATATTGGTTGCCTCAATTACAAAAGATGCATCAAAAGTATGCGCTAATATTATTAATTTCTCTTAATAGTCGCTCGTTGATTGACATGAACCAACCGCCCATCCTAATTAACCGTAAACGTCTCATCGTTTTTTATTTTTTACCGAAATAGCGAATCATTTTTTAAAAGTACGAAAAGGAGAAAGATGTGAGACGATCAAGAAAAGATAGTAAAGTGGAAAGAAGAAAAAAATAAAAAAATTAACGATAAAAATAACGATAATAATTGATCAAGTTAATTATCGAATTTTAATTATTATTATTGAGACCACCTAATATGTATAAATACAATAAAAAAGAAAATTAAAGAGAGCAATAATGTAAAATATACGGATTTTATTTGTGTTGCCTTAGTGCTTCGTCAACCTGTAATTCGATTTTGTGATATTTTGCACAAAAAAATCATTCACACATTCTTCAAGATGTGTTTGAATCGTACGTTTCTTCAACTGGTTTTTTTTTTTTTTTTTTATTTTACTTCACTACTTCACCCTTCATCATTTCACTATTTTCACTATTTCACTATAATTTTACTATAATTTTGGTGTACGTCAATATATATAATTTTTTTTTACTTTGTTAGTTTATTCCAACTCATGCTTATCCTTAGAACTGTAGAACTACTGTAGACTGTAGAAACTAAATATACTGTGTAACATGAAATTAACACTATTTATATCTATATCATCACACACTGTTTTCTTAACTTTTTTAAAAAGTAGATATTGCTCTGATACACTACATATATAACTGCCGTTCACGACAAGACACCTAAATTTCCTCCCACTCAATAAATCGAAAAAAAAAAATCGTTTTTTTTTTTTTATCCTTTCTCTCTCGTAGATTCATTTTTTTTTTTAAAAATAAAAAAAAAAGTTAATATAAATACATAAAATAATAAAAAAAAAAAAAAACTTATCGAATAGAATAGAAAATCCAAAGCTGTTAGAATATATATATTCGTTACTGGTTAACTCACGACTCGAATTTTTTTTTATATTCCCACCCCTCTATCTCTTTCACTTGTGGATTAGAATCTTTCCTATTTATATCTAGACATCGTTTATATCGACTTTTATTTAGACTGTTTTTTTTTTTTTCGTCGATATTTGATATTTGATATTTGATATTTGATATTCGATATTCGATATTCGATATTCGCTTATTAAAATTGTCTATCAAACTCGGTTCGACTCCTCTCACCGCAATTCAAGTTTGCCCTCCTCAGGTAAACAAATTATCATTTTTTTCTTTAAAATAATCTTTTCGTCTCCGAGAAACAAAAAAATATATTGTTTGTTTCGTCTTGTCTGTTTGAAATGTGAATCTCTACTGGTCAGATCGTTTGTTTTGAAATTTATTCTTTTTCTTTTCCCCTTTTCTTTCTTTTCATTATTTCTTTTTTAAACCTTTTAAATTTTCGAATATTTTTAAAATATTTGAATATTTCGAATATTTAAAAAAAATAACTTTTGATTATATTTGATTATATTTTATATTGGTTTTTTTGCCCATTTTCCATTTTGATAATGCGTTAAAAAAAAACCATTTACTAGTTTAATAGATCGTCGCAATTATTTATGCATCTCATCGTGCTCGAAAAAATTACTTGATCCGATTTGATTAAATATTTTTTTAGCCCGTTATTATTATTATCATTATTTTATTGTTATATTAAAAAAAAACTAACTATTCAGAAGTTTCCTTTTTATCGTAACATCAATTAAAAAAAAAATTTTAATTCCAATCAATCGTGATCCCGATGAATGCTATATCAACTTTGATTTTCTTCGAGCTCTTCGATTTGTTTCGTTATTTCTTCCTACGCCTCGGCTAGTTCTGATTTACCAATTCGATCTGTCCGATCCGTCTGTTTCCGATTTTATATGGTCCATTGCGTGTTTATTCGCCTTGTTACTTTATCAAAATTACGTATGATCTGATTATATCTCCGCCAAATTTACTGATCGTTGATCTGTATTCTTTCTTTATATATATTTATATATTATATTATATATATATATATTATATATATTATATTATATATTATATTTATAGTTTATATCTACTATAGTTCACGTGAAATTATTGAAATCATAATTATTATGTCTTCTGATTTTGGAATACCGACTCCTCCTGCCTCCGAATCATCTGATGGAAAAGATCATTTCTTTATTGATAATCTTTTGGTATCGGAAAGGGATGTCGAAAAGGATTCTTCAAGTCATGTTTTAACCGCTCCTCCTTCTGTACATGATAATACTGATGGTTCCGATGAACCATCTACTCCAACGAGTCCTGATCCTGTAATTCAATCCGGTTCTAGATATCTTATACATAATTCTTTTCTTCCGGCTTTCATTCCTCAAGTCGCTGCTGCTCATCAAATTAAAATTCCTGATTCTCATCCTTTATCATCCTGTGCTACTTCTGTGAGATCTTCTTCTCCTTGTGCTGATTCTTCTTCAACTATTAATGATGTTACAACAAAGTCTGTTGATTCTACCGCTAGTTCGATTTTATCAACTACAACAACAACAACAACTACTACAACAACAACAACTACTACTTCTACTAAAAGAAAACGTAAAGGTATACCTCTTAGATCTCCTAATCGTGATGATGTAGAAAGTGATCCTGGTATGGTTTTTTGTTTCCCAGTTTTATTCCCTTCAACAAATATAAGTACAAACAATACTATCAATACCAAAACCAAAACCAATATCAATACAAATTCAATTTCAAATAATACAATTAATTCAAATAATATCACTGATTCTAATTCATCACAACAACAACCACAACAACAACAAAGTAATACGGATGATGATGATGGTGATCATATGAATACAAAAGATTCAATTCCTTCAATGTCTATGTCTATGTCTATGTCTATGTCTCTTCATGATAAATTATCTGGACCTTCAGCTTTTATCATTCACCGACCAGTTTTACTACCTGATATTATTAAATCAATTTCTCAAGCTAGAAGATCTAAAATGAGATCTAGACCTGTTACTAGAGCAAAAAATAAAAGAGAAAGTCAAGAATTAGAATTATTAAAATTAACCGGATTAGATCATATTATTGATTCACCTGATAATAACAAAAATGTTGATGATCTCGTGACTAATTCGTCACGTCGTACCGCAACAATCAACAATAATCAAAAATTTTTACAAAATTTTTCAAATTCACAATTGTCTAGATCAAATCAAATTTCCACAAATGGTGGTGAAAAACAATCAATTAGATCTTCTTCACATAATGGTTCTTTACCTTATTATCGAAATTCTAATCAACGTCGTGCATCAATGTCAGTTTCTTCTTTATCATCTATTCCTACATCTGAATTAAGTGATTATGATCTTAATTCTGATAATTTTGGTGATGATGAAGATGATCCTGATTTTGCTCCTCCAACAAAGAAACGTAAAGGTGATCATTCACCTTCTAAATGTTATCCGGGTTCTTCGTCAACTTTACATATGACTCATCGTAGAGAAACTGGTAATAAAACAAAAGTTTGTGCAAGTTGTAGAACTCGCAGTACACCATGTTGGAGACCTGGCTGGCGTCCAGATCTTTTCTTGTGTAATAGCTGCGGATTAAGGTAAAATATTAGATTATAATATAATATGTTAATTTTAATATATGTTAATTTTAATATTAAATTATAATATATATTAAATTATGATAATGTTAATTATACTAATTATAATAATTATACGTTAATACTAATCACATATTTATATATTTACTACACACACAATATTTATAGATACAAGAAGACGAAGTGCGTTTGTACTAATTCAGAATGTCGGTATATTCCGCTCAAGTCTGAATATAATGCAATGTTCAAAAAACCAAAGAATGGAGATTCTCCTGACCTAAAGCGTTGTTGTAAATGTTCGACGGTACTATGATTCTAAAATTGCAGATTTTTAATATCTCATGGTAGATTTTTGTTATGGCAATTTTTTATTTGTTTTTTTTATTTCTATATCTTTTTTTTTTTTTTTTTTTTTTTGATATCTTTTATATATATAGTTTTTTTTCTTGTTTTATATAATATATATATTCTCGTGACAAAAAAAATCATAAAATATCATATCGTGCACTAGTAGTATGATTGTCGTATGTAAATAAGGCAACATGTGAACGAAAGATTTGGTATAATCGTAGGTGATTTTTGGTTTTTTTTTTTCTACTTTCAATTTTATGTCAATTTTATTTTCTTCGCACAATGTCTACAATGTCTGTGCGCATTTTCCATGTTTAGTATTAAATATACATATATATGTGTGTATTTAAAAATCATATATATATACATACATATCAACAATATGTTTTTTAGCTAGCATATATATAATTTCAAAAAAATCATACGCTACAGCAAAACAACAAAACCCATAAGCATTTAAAACATTTCGCTAGCTAATAGTTATAAAAAAACACCCTATGGTCAAATTTTTTTGAAAGAAAATTAATTTTTTTTTATCTGTATCCCTTTTTTTTTTCTTCTTTTTATACCACTCGCTCTTATCCTAATTTTTTTTTTTTTATTTGTTTTTTTTAAATTTCATTTATACAAATCAACATTTTTAATTTTAGTTTTTTTTATATACATATATATACATTTAAACCCCTTTTGGATAAGAGCATTGTTAAATTTCCTGTTATAGTATGTAATATATATAAATTTTCTGGCTTTTAATCTGTAATTTAAAAGAAAAAAAAACGCGTGTGAACATTGAGTTTTTTTTTTTTTTTTTTTTGTGGATCAAAAAAAAAAAAATTCGATTCAATTTTCGTTATCAGTCAGTTATACTGTAAATATGATGATGAATCAAATTCAAAAAAAAAATTCAAATTCAAATTCAAATTTCTCGCGTGTAACTTCGATTTAATCTATAATTTGTTTAAAATTTATTATTAACCGTTTTTTAAACCCTATAAAGGAAAACAAAACGTTTTTTTTTGACAATATACCGTAATAATGGTTATGATGATTACATTATGATTACAATATGATGAAATATGATGATTACGACGATCGATCGATCTAATTGTTATTGATGTTTGCGTGCCCCCCATAACGAACCAGTCATTCGGATAAATTTTATTCACTCTCGTAAAAATATTAAAAATATATTTTTATAAAAAGATCTTTTTTGGGGGGTTAAAAAACAGTGTCAAACGGTTAAGAAGTTAAATACGGGAATTACAATGAAAATGAATTAAGATTAAATTATAATGAATATGATATGATGAATTATGATGACGATATGATGATGATGATCATAATCAACCATTTTCCCCCTTTCCTCGTGATCGATGATCAATTACAGAATTACAGAGAATTACAGGGGAGAGATATTACCTAATATTTCTAAATATCAAATATATCGGAACTTTAATTGACAGGTTTTTCGACAGGTAGGGAAAGTGACGCGATTATAGTTTTTTCTATCACTGAATCACTGTTTGAATCAATTAAAAATCAATCAAAATCAATCAAAATCAATCATGTTTTTCGTGAAAAAATTTATTTTATTTTTATAATACTGATAATACAATATTTATGAAATTATATAAAGTCGAGTTATTATATTTTAAATAAATGAAATTCTCGTTTATTCTTATATATGGATCAAGTATGAAAGGATGAAAATGATGAGGCTTGAAAAATTTCAAAAAAACTGTGAGGCTTATGATGACACTCTTGAATTCATCTGTAAATTCCGGTTTTTTAAAACATGTATTATAATTGTACAGAAGTAGACATACATACATGCATATATATAAATACATATTAATATATATCAGGTATCTGGTATGTATGTACATATGTACATACATTCAAGTACAATACGTATGTTCATTCAAGTGCGTACGTACTTACTATACGTACGTATCTGGTATGTACGTGACACTCATGACTCGGTCGCGAGTGACGAATACATTGTGACGTCAAACGCTCGTGATTAAGCTCGTGATTAAAGTCATCGGTCGTGATTAAGGTCGTAATTAAGATTGTGCGATCATGATTAAGCTCGTCGTGGTTAATCGTGGTTAATCGTGGTTAATCTTGGTTAATCTCGTGATTTAGTGTGAGATCATTGACCATAAAAGGTAGTTCCAAATGAATGAATTATAAATTAGGGTAATTATTATCCAAGTTCTCGGTTTTCGTTTAAATATTTAAGGACCAAAAAAAAACATAAATCAAAATGCTCGAATTTACACGTTTCATCTTAATTAAACAAGAGAGGATAATAAGTGTCCTACTTAAAAGAAATAATTTTAATAAATTAATTTTACCAAATTGTGTAAAAAGAAATTACCGGTATTATTAATATAATTACTATTAGTTAATTATTACTTTATTAATGATATTTTTTTTTGACTTTGTTATCTAAAAAATCTTACACAATCATTTAATCAATAAAATGTGCGCATATTGTGCGCACATTTTCTAATATATATAATAAATAAAATTTTTCAAACCTACGTAAGTATGTCAAGGGGATTTCTTCTATCCGATCCGCATTTGATCCTTTTTGATCCTTTTAATGATATCACAACAGTTTTTGCAGATGTACTTCAATTAAAATGTAACAAGATTACGAAATTTACTAAATCACAAATGGTAACTAATTGGCACAAAAGCAAAGGCCAATAAAAATAAATAAAAGCATTTCACATAAATAACTACATAAATACTAAAGCATAATTGCATAAAAAAAGTTTGTTACACGTATGTGTTGATTTATGATATATTGGGATTAATTTTGGAGAACCATTTTTAGAGTGCATAAACAGTGACGCGAATAAGAGTCTGGGCGTACGTCTCACAAACAAAAAAAAATTTACGCCAGGCTTGTTAAGTACCTGTTTTTTTTATCTAACGTCATCCATAATTCCTGGTTTTGTTACACTTCAAATCGTTCATATGACTTGATTGTTATTTGTTAGTTTTATATATATTACTTAATTTACTTAATTTTTCATTATTTCACTACTTTTTATATTTTTTATGTTACTTAATTTTCATTATTTCGCAATTTCTTTGGATTTTCTTTCTACTTTTTTTTAAACTATTATTCCTTATAAAGTAGTAAAAATAACACATGTTTTCTAATTTCGTTATTTTCGAAATTGGAATTTAGATTCTAAAAAAATTGGTTGTTTAAAGTCTCACGCACCGCCGTTCAACCACTTTTTTATATAATCATTCAGTTTTTTTTTGGTTTAGGAAAAAGAAGGATCAGACCATAAAAAGATTCTCTATTCGTCACATGAATTTAAGCATATGAAACAATCAAGGGCGTTTTGTGCAAATGGCGGATCATATTTAATTACTAAACCTTAAATTTATTTACTATCGACAAAGATACCATGAAACTCTCGGGTTTTGCCTAACCTACTTTTGTAATGTCAATAATATTGAAAATTTTGATTACCACAATGCATCCATATCTTTTCAATTTCTTTAAAATATTGTTAAAAATGCTATCAATTTCCTCGTAAAGGTTTCTCTTCTTTTCTATTTAAATACTATTTAAATACAATTTAAATACTATTTGAATATTGAATATACTGTATTTATATATATTCTATATTTTTTTATTCATTTTTGACTGTGGTTCGGTCCGTTAACCTTTATAATCTTTAACCTTTATAATCTTTTTTTTAAAAAAAAAGATTTTTGGCATCTTTTAGATAATTTAGATATTTTAGATATTTCGCCAACGAAATATCCGTATGACATTCCTTATTTGGTTAGTCGCTTTTCATTTTTTTGGTTAATTTCATTATTATTAAATTATTGAATTATTCGTTTGTTCATATCGCATATATCAAAATTTTTTTGAAACCTATAAGAGAAAAAAAAATGATTGTGTTTATTTTTTTTCGTGCCATTTTTATTTACCATACTGTATTAAAAAAATAATAGGTTGAATCGAATTTGGTAAGTTGGTTGTTGGCAAATTTGATAATACGTATCAAAAAAAAATTAATTTGTTTTAAAAAAAAAATAAATTTATATATAATTTTTACTTCTTTTGAAATGCAAGAAAAAAAAAAATTAACGTTAAATGTACTTACGTACGTACGTATTTACTTATCTGATACCAGATACCTGATACGTACTTACGTACGTACGTACGTAAATAAACGGCAGGTATCAAGATCCTGCACCTACTCTAAATTTTCTATAAATTTATATATATATACATGTGCATAAAAAAAAAAATTTTTTTTTATACTCATGCAAAAGAAAAAAAAACTAATAATAACAAGGTTAAAGTTTATATAATTTTTACGGATACATTAACGTATTTTTTTCCTTTTATAATAAAGCTTGCCTCTGAGACTAACCTTCATTTAAAAAGTATTCAAAGTTTTTAGATAAAATTTTTTTATATCGATAATATCGATACTGTATGCGTTCTTTTTTTTAAACTTTATTGTATAACGATAATGATATTTGATAATTAAACTTTATCAATCCCAAAAATACTTTGATAAAAAAAATATACGTTAGAATAATAATATTTTTAGAATTTTATTGTGTTTTCTTACTAAAAAAGTTATTATCAAAGAATTAATA